GAAATCAAATGTGAAAGTCTGAATATGTATATGAAATGTTCAGGATATGCAAATTATGGTAGAGACAGAAAACACATTCATGGTTGCCTAGGGTTGAAGGGGGGAACAGGGAGTGACTGCAAATGGGCACAAGCACTCATTTCAGCATGACAAATACAGAACGATACTACAGTGATGGTTTCACAATTCAAATTTGCTAAAACTTACTGAGTTGTGTATGTAGCTGAATTTTATAGTATGAGAATTATATCTCAAGCCATAAACAAATAAAATAACGATATAGATCTTACTGATACAGATGTCAGTTGTGAGGCATCGTCTCCCATTGCCTGTGCAATTCTATCTCCTTTGCGTTTGGGAGCCAGCTGGTGGTCTTTTGCTTCCAGCTCTGGGTCCCCTACCCTAAAGAAAGGACTTGAGCACTTTCTAAGGGTAAACCCCCTGGAGCCTTTTTTATAAAGGAGTCAACAGGGTCCACTTATTCTCAGGGAAGTTCATAAAAGAAACATTAGTGGTCTCTTGAAAGTTCAGAAGGCCATTTTGTGAGATGAGAGTGAATGACTTTCCAATCTTTCTTACTTTTCATTGTAGAAGTGACTTACATTAAGAAAAAAAGAAAAAAGAAAAGTGCCTAATTCATGATTTTCTCAGGCCTAAGCAGTGGACAGCTCATGGGACAAAGGATGTGCCTTGATACCTGAATGAGTTGGCAGCTAAACTAGTCCTTCAGCTCACCCATTGTGACCTAGAGTTTCCTTCTGCTTTGCAGACGTTGCCTCTAGGTACTACTTCTGCTTGACCAAAGAGTGTGAATCCTTAATCTCTGGTCAAGAGTCTTTGCTCATAAGCAAAAAGTGTGATTTGCAGGGTGTAGGGCTTATGCCATTTTAACAAATTGCCTGACAGCCCTCAGGACCCTGAGACAAGGCTAAAATGGAAGCTCACACACAGGCATGGTTACATCTCACCATGCCATGGAGTATACAAAGTGCACAAGAGAGCACTCCCACTGCGCGCGCGCACACACACACACACACACACACGTGCTCAATGGAAACAACTCAGCCAACAGAACTGGGATGAACTTGCCTGTCCTCCAGCATTTATGGATGAATTAAGTAGCATAAACAGAATTTAGAGATGACACAGCTTCAGAGAGATGCTTGAATCCACAGTTATAGCATCTGTCAGCACAAGCATTGGGCCACAGTGTGTAATCCACGTTGCATTGCTCCCAGGACTGCTGGCTAAAGGACAAGATTAGAATTTAAGGCACGAGAAGATCATCAACAGAGGGACTGTTAGCGGGGTAGGGCTGTTGGAGAGCGAGGGTGTGGTGACATAAATAGCATTTCCAGTTGTGCACTAATGGTCCAGGAGCTGTGGCAGTAAACAGTGTGAGGTTAATTTTGGCATTGATTTCCTTGAGGCACTGCCTCTTTCAACTGTGATAAAGGAGTGAAATCACACAAAGCCAACACTTGACCTGAAATGTTGGAGGTGGGGGTGGGCAGAATTAAACAAAAGTTTCCTACACTTAGAAGATTTGAAAGGCTTCTGAAAAGAGATATAGCCCTCCTCCTTGTAACTCCTTCTGTCTGAAACCTGTTTGAGCATCAGTTGGCCAGCTCATTGAAAATAACCCTGGAAATGATGTAAAGTGTGGGGTGCATTTGCTGCATTTCCAATAGTAGAGAATAAATGTCTCTGCTAAGCAAAACTGTAGTGTCGCTCTACATTTATTCTTCAACTAATTTTCTCACTTTGTAGAATCAGTCAACATCTGAGTTTGCTGCAGTCCCTTCAGCAAACCTGGCAGTTTCTCCTGTGGCATGTCTAACCAAAGCAAGATGAGGCATTGCAGAGTGACGAGGTGGCAGTGAATTTCACATCTCATCACTATTCTCACCACCCCTGGGAAGGTCATGTGTATTCCTGACCCTGAACGTTGCTCCTAGTTTTACTTACTTTTACATTCTATCCTCCAAGACCCAGGTCAACCACCTGCCTCTTCTGATTCTTTTCATGGTAATTCCAACTCATACTGGCCATACTTCCTGAAGAATTCCTGTTATGTAGTCAGAATCTCTGTTTTATACATAGTTGTTCTGTGATTCCTTCATGGGTCTGTTTCATCCCTCTCACATAGCCTGTCTGTCCCTGAAGGGTGGGAATCGTGCTTTACATTTATTTATAGGCCGCCCAAAGCTCTTGGCACAGGGCACATGCTTCACAGTGATTTCCTGGCTGATTGAAAGGCTCTTAGGATGCATTGCATTGCCCGTAGCCCTGTGAGATGTAAAAGGTGCATGCTGTTTGTTATAAGTTTAGTTAAATAAATGAAAGATAAAAACATAGTGTGATGGCAATTTTCCAGTATGGGGGTGTGCATGGGTTTGTGTGTCCATTTATGATGGGAGCACAGTTCTGCTGAGAGGGGTGTGTGTGTGGTACAGACACAAAGGACTAGGGAAAATACGGCAGCAAATGTCAATAGTGATATCTCTGAGTGCTAACATCATTAAAAATTGCTTTTTCTTTACTAAGCATTTTTATGATGTATGTATAAAGAATATATTTATTTATATGAGGTATGACACATTTAGCAGTATGAAGAATGAGCTAATGAAACTGATAAGTGATTATTATTATAAGACGCACAGTATCGTGAAGTAGGAGGTTTGCAGTGAATTGGGTTTGGTTGTCCATTATTCTTTCTGGGTCTATTCCAGTGTTTCCCAAAGTGTGTTCCAGAATATAGTAGTCCCTGCCACGGGCGTTACACATTTAAATAATATGGGAAGCAGCCTCTTGGAAATTCACAATATCCATTCATTGGCCCTGAATATTTTTACAGCAAAGGAACCTGTCTGTTCTACTTGGTGTTTTCCAAATTTCTCCAAACACTGAATCTTTTTTCCTTTTTTGCCTGTTAACTGCATTGCCTTTTGGAAAACGTTATTCTATTTCTATGTGGTTGTTTTCAAATAACAGAGTGAGTTTAGTTCTAAGTGTCTTAATTTTGTGTGTTGTTCATATTCCTTTGGTTAGAGGATCCAGAGAAGTTATGAAGTTAGAGAACAACTTCTTTAATCAAATCTGTAGAAACATTTTGGCAATACCAAATTACATGATTTGATGATTTTCTCCTTCATTGTAAAAGCTATGCAGCAACACTGCTTCGTTTGCAAAGTTTTAAAGCTTAATTTGCTATAATGAAAACATTCAATGAAAAACACACTGTGAGCTGAATTTATTCAGCCTCTTTTGGAGTCCATTCTTTCACTGGAGGTTATTACCGTGAAGCTGCATTTTATTTTTATATGAACTTTTTTTTTCCATCTCTATAATCATCTTTTCAGGATGAGCTTTTGACAGTGATGCTAACAGTGACAACCCCCCTAACCTCCAACACACCTTGCAAACTCTCTCCATAATGAAGGGCTGCAGATGCTAATTCAAAATGGCAGGTAATTCGTGTGTAAACTGAAATGTGCATGCTTCTGTCTGAAACTGCAGTTGCATTAAGTTGTGGGAATGCACAGTGGGTGAAGTCAAAAGATCCTGGTAGGAGGGCATAGGCACGCAGCTCGCCAAAAGGCTGGAAATTGATCTTCCTTTTTGTCCTCCACATCTTTCTGTCCTGCAGCCCACGCAGAACAGACAATTTGTCAGAAGCTCAGAGGGTGGCCAAACGTTTGGATTTCCAGAGGCTTTCCAACTCAGATATGTGAGCAAAAACGAAAAGTAAGCAAAGGAGGGACATTATTAATAAAGCACAATGGAGATGGTGTCAAATGGAATTTGGGCCAAGAAAGTATATTATCTCTTTGACTAGCCATGTAATGCTTCAGTTTATCTTTGGCTAAAACAGATACAGCAGAGCCGGTGGTTAATGATACTAGCTAACACCTGAAAAATAGGCTACGTCGAATCACAATTTTTGCCTCATAGAATCATAATGCTTCAGTTTGTTACTAAAGTTATTTAAGTTTAAACAATACAGAGAAAGCACGTTTGACCCCAATATATTTGGGACTCGTTTCCTGTAACCCCATAGTGAAAATGGCCTCTTAGCACTGGTGTGACCCCATTCAGCCAGGTGCCAGGCATGACATCATTATAAAATGCAAGTAGATTGCCTTCTGGAAATCTGCATCCATCCGTAGTTACACCCGACACAAGCTACAGCTTTGTTTAAACTTCCAGCTGACTGACTCGCACACAGTCGTGAATGGAAAGCAAACAGTGGAAAATAACGCCTTTTCACCTTGTTCTGGGCTGCGTGAACAACACTGCGCAGAGCCAAGCTTTGGGCTGCAGCCTGGTTTCCAGAAATCACACAGCTCTAGAATGGAGTGTCTGTGGCCTTTCACACACCAGCTGCCAGAGGTTGTGGTTTTTAAGTAAAGCTTGGAAGTGGGATTGCAGGCTATCAGCGGGAAGCCAGTTAAAGCAGATAGAAAAGTTTTGCTGTACACACAAAAGAAGAGGAGAGTCTCGACCACCTGTGCCTTTAACAGGTCACCTCTGTCACGGTACTGGGGTCTTTTAGAGGTCAAGACCTCCTCATGCAGGAACCTCCAGCTCCCAGTACGGCCCCCGCACCCAGGAGCACCTGAGTACCCGTCAACTGACATAAACGAGAGTGGAGATATTTCAGCCGCTCTGTGGGTGAATGCAGGTTCTGATTTGGGGGTCTGGGGTGAGCCCTGAGATTCTGCATTCCCAACAAGGTCCGGGCACGGGGGACGGTGCTGCTGCTCCCGGGCCCGGGGACCACTCTTGGAGAGCCGAGGATCTGAAGGGGAGGAAAACCAGGGAGTGCAAACGCTTTCCATTGCAGCCTGGGGTCGCACAGCAGTCCGGGAAGCCGCCCCTGCGCCCGCTCCCTCCCCGCCCCCAAGTAGCTGGGGGTGACACTGGCTGCAGGGCAGCGCCCTGAGAAGTGCAGGGGTGAGGTCTGCAGGCCCCGCTAACCACGCCCTTCTCTTCCCCAGGGGAGGAGCGCCCCCGGGACTCCCCGGGCCCGGCGGAGGCCCAGGCTCCGGCCGGGGTGGAGGCCGGCGGGAGAGCGAGCCGCCGCTGCTGGACGTGCTCCCCTGCGCAGCTCAAGAAGATCTTCTGGGGCGTGGCGGTGGTGCTGAGCGTGTGCTCCTCGTGGGCGGGCTCCACGCAGCTCGCCAAGCTGACCTTCAGGAAGTTCGACGCGCCCTTCACCCTCACGTGGTTTGCCACCAACTGGAACTTTTTATTCTTCCCGTTGTACTACGTGGGGCACGTCTGCAAGTCCACGGAGAAGCAGTCAGTGAAGCAGCGATTCAGGTAGGCGCCTCCCGCAGGAGGAGGTCACCTGACCGAGGCTGCTCCGTCCTGCGTGGACTCTGCAGAGCTGCCCCTGGTGGCGGGCGCTGGGGTGGGCCGGTGGGAGCCGGGGGAGAGATGTCGCAGTGAATGCATTTGCTCTCCCAGTGGGGGCGGGAGCAGAATTCTCTCTACCCTGGGTGGTGAGCGCTCCTTCCTCTTCCTCCTGCCCCTTGATCCTGGGAGCCCCTTTATATCAAACAGCAGCCGGCAGCGTCTTCCCGAGACGGCAAGTAGTAGGTCCCCAGAAAGCTTAGAAACGAGAGAACTGTGTAGCTCAGCTCATCCCTCAGCAGGCTGGGGTGAGGACCGCCAGGCCATGGAGAACCAAGGCCACTCAGACGCTTCCTGTAGCTCACTTTCCTCACGTAGATGTTCGCTGCGAAGACTTCCTTACTCATCCTCTTTGTAATTCCAAGACATGCCCCGCTTCGGGTATGTAATCGATTGGTCTGAATATCTCCCAGTGTGATGGTCAAAACTGAAGCACTGTCTGGACTTTTCTGACTAGATTTACTCAAATGCAGTCCATTGGAATGACATCGCTTTCAAAAAGGGGCCAGAAACCCTCTGGCCTCAACCCCCTACCTCAGAGTGCAGGAGGGCTCCCGCAGCCCTCCCCGGGAGTCACATTGTAGGTGTTGACCCGTGGTGCTCATCTGTGCCAATAAGAGCACCTAGTGTTTACCCAAAGTGGAGGCTTTCTGTGGGGTGTGTCAGGGTGTTCCCCAAATCAGGCCTAGTCAAAAAACAAAAACAGAAATGAATGCTGGCCAGGTGACACAGTAGGCCCTGGAAACGAGTTTTATCATTCCCAGAGGTGAGGAGAAAATGAACATTCCTTCACCATTGCCTTCTTCCCCACCACACCCCACCTTGCCAAACACATACACCCATAAGATTGCCACAACCTGAAGTTGCCCTTAGAAGGTACAAAATAGTTAAAAACATCATTGGGTCTGCGCAACAAAGAGGCTTGGAAATGGAGGTGTACACCTGGACCAGAATATCTTTCTGGGAATCTACCAGTTTGTCTCTGTAAACTCATAGCTGGAAATATGGGTGCGATACACTTTTTTAATGTTCAGAGGGAGATTGGCCTGCCTCCTTTCAAAGGCCAGCTTGTAAATTAGAGCATAAATTCTGGAGGAGGGGGCTCTGATGGAGCTTGAATTGAATCACACGGCAAATCTCACATGTCCCCTTAGTGAAAAGGATTTAGCGCAAAGAATTCTGATCCTCAGGGTTGACTTAAACCAGTGGCTCATGGACCAGCCAGAAATTGCTAAAGAGACACGTAATGCACCCTCTTCTGAACAGATGCCAAAAACAGAAGGAAACAAATCATTAGGGCCCGAGACTGTCCCACAGGCAAAAGTAAAATAGTCCCAGAGAAAAGCTAATCTTTAGTAAACGATGGATTTAACAGTTAAGTATCCCTAAGTGTGTTTAATCGGTAATTAGGAGTTTGCCTTTCATTAAAACTGATTGGAATGGCATGCTACTGCCTCTCATGAAATGCCGAAAGTGAGCCCATGTGCACTTTCTTGATCACGACTTATTGGCAGAGAAGATGAAATGCTTCTTTCAACCATATATCTTCCACCTTATAGGCTGAAAGACGTCCCCTGCCAAGTGGTAGCACTGGCTGTTGTCCCAGATGTGCTCCATGGCTACCACTTACCTGGGGAGAAGACTGTCACTGCCAGCCACTTAGGGCAGGCCTGGCACCATTAAAGTGCTGAAAACCTCACAGTGGTGTGGTGCTTATACAGTCAACAGGAAACAAATCAAAGGTCACTGAAGATTGGTTATACATAGAAAAGCATCAACACCTTGGTTTCAACCTATTGTCTTCCTATGAAAAGTGCTCAAAAAGAATCATGAAAAAAATCTGGTGACCGCCCTGTTAACTGCAAAACAGTGTAAAAAGGGGGAGGATAATTCCAACTTTATTACTGAAACTGGGTAAAACCTTGCCTAATATCTGTCATCACGTTCTGCTTCAGCTCTTTAAAAAAAAAATTTTTTTTCTGTTTGTAAGCGGTGTTAGCCCTGTGGCTAGGCAGAGCTGCCAATTTACCAGCCAATTATCAGGCATGTCAATCAAGCCATGTACATCATTAGAGGGATGAAGAGAAATTTTTTTCGTAAAAGAAGGGGAGAAAAATTTTAACATCACATACCTTCCTTAGGAAATCACAACTCTGCCACAACTCATATTGGGAGTACTTTAGACAGACTTTAGTATTTTCAGAAATCAAGGAAGACTGAAATTACATCTTTCATCTTTAAGCTTTTATCAAAATTAATGTCAAAGAGAAGATTCTGAGTTGTCTGAGATGAGGCTCTTGGCTGAAAGGGTTTAGCAGGGAGCTAGGAAGAAAAGGAGATGAACAGAGACCTGTTCCATAAAGAGGGGAGCTGGATGGATACAGCAGCTTTTCTTGCAGTTATCAGGAAGCAATCAGATGGAAGCATCTTTTCTGTAAACCCTCCCCACCTGAGCTGCTTCCCCAAGGTGAAGCCAGAGCAGAAAGCCAAAGCAGAAAAAGGAAGGTATGTGCTCCCCAGCACAGAGCTCCTCAATCTGCAACGCCTTGTGAGACTCCATGGGGTTTTGTTGAAGGCAGACCCTGATTCAGTGGGTCTGGGTGAGTCTGAGATTCCGCTTTTCTTATGAACTTCCAGGGAATCCCAGTGCTGCTGGTCCATGGGCTGCACTTTAACTGTAAATGCCCTGGAGTTGTTGAGCCCCAGCTACAGATTTTTTCAAATGCTGCTGATTTTACCAAATGTTACAACTAGGACTCACCTCACCATGTAGAACTGATGAGCGACTCCACTAGGGCCCAGAGGATGTTTGAGCCCTGGTCCTCTTCCAGCCCTGGTCCTCTTCGAACGCTGGTCCTCTGCCACTCATGAGGGGAGGATCCATGGGCAAGTCCTCAAAGCTCTCAGAGCCTCAGATGCCATTTGTAAATGGGAGGTGGTGATATATGCACTGCCTTGCACAAAGGACTGCTGTGTGATCAAATGACACGCTGCCTATGAAAGTGCCCTATAAAATGTAGCTTGTATAAATGCAAGGAGCCAGTCTTGTGCTGTGATAGCCTCTGTGGGTTATTCTGAAGGCTGTTGCCCACGCTTTGTTAATTGGCTGCCTCATAGTGGCCAATTTAAAAGTATAGGTAAGTATATTAAGAAAGTAAGGACTGCTCATAATCTTGTTACCCTAAAGTAACTATTTTAGGATATGTTTATCCGTAATATCAGTCAGGGGTTGATATGACCATGTTGGCCCATATCTGTTTAGGAATAGCCCATGAGCTAAGTATGGTTTTTACATTTTTAAATGATTAGAAAGGAAGCCCAAAACAGCAATAATATTTTGCGGTACATAAAAATTATATGAAGTTCAAATTTCAGGGCACATAAATAAAGTTTTATTGGAACCACAAAAAAAAAAAAGAGTGCCAACTCCTGTGCTCATGCAAGTGTCAGTCTTGAAGAAATCAACCTGTAGCCCTCGTAGCTGCACAGGGCACACAAGAACACTGATCAGGGCTTCTCATGATCAGATACTGTTGTCAGGAGTTAGATGTGAACGGGCAAACCTCTCAACCAAACTCATCTGGGTTTTCAGTCCCTGCCTTACAGTCTTCCCAGCAAGCACTCAGCTATCCTGGCTCTCAATGGGCTGCTTCCTTCTCCAATATGATAAGCAGTCCTACCCTTATCTTCCCCGTTTCTCACTGAAACTGGCCACATGGATGTTCTAAGGAAGTAATAGTGCCCAGAACTCAGAGAGGGCTTCGGTCTTTAGGTACTTGAGGGTGCTTGGGAGCCACAGTCTCCGGGACCACCTAGCACAAGGTGGGAGGCATAGGGAGGTGGCTGTATGAGGTCTGTGTTTGGGAGAGCCTGTTGAGCACAGGTGTGATGACACAGCCTCCTGGCCCCTCTGAACCTGGAACAGGAACGCAGCTTTTCAGATCCGAGAGGTCTGCAGAGCTGGGGCATTTTCATTCTTGCCCGAAGATCTTCCAGGAATTTGCAGCAGTAGTGACCTGTTTTCAAAAGCAAATGCTGAGACCTTCTGCTATCGTGCGGCTGCCAAAAAAAAGTGAACTGTGCAGTGGTGACAGATGTTTTTCTCTGCCTTTGTAGTTCCAGGCTTTCTGTAAGCCAGCCTATTGATTCTGCTTCAGATATTCTGAGCAACAACAGAGCCAAGAAAGGGGAAAGGGTAGTTGAGATGCCTTTCATCTTAAACCCTGCAAGGGCCTGGCATGTGTACCTTGCCACCCAGACTTACGCAGGAACCATATTGGGTCTTGCAGCTGTAACATTCATCGGCCATTTAAAATCAAAAGAGCAGAGTGGAGCGGTTGCAATCTGGAGCTTTGTTCTGAAAATAGTTACTGTGCATCTTCTCTAGGCAATGCACCAGAAATACAAGATAAGTGGACTCTTTCCTCCAGGATCCCAAAACCTGGAAAGTGACTCAGATAGCCACACAAGGTGGGGGTGCATGCCAGGGAGCTGAGAGGGGGTGAAACTCAGATACATGTGTCCAGGGACAGGGTACAAAAGTTTCTTAGAAAATGGCAGCTATGGCCTGGCGCAGTGGGGGTTCATGTCTGTAATCCCAACACTTTGGAAGGTTGAGGTGGGCAGATTGATTGAGCCCAGGAGTTTAACACCAGCCTTGGCAACATGGCAAAACCCTGTCTCTACTAAAAATTCAAAAATTAGCCAGGTGTGATGGTGCACCTATAGTCCCAGCTCCTCAGGGAGCTGAGGCAGGAGGATCACCTGAGTCTTGGGAGGTCGAGGCTGCAATGAGCAGTGATCAGGCCACTGCACTCCAGCCTGGGTTACAGCGTTAAGACCCTGTCTCAAAAAGAAAAAAAAAGAAGTTAGCTAGGAACAATTTCTTTAAGGACAAGCAGATGGTT